TCTCTCTCGGGCCTTTACTATTCCTAAAATGCTGTACGTCTAACAGGTTCTTGAGCTCTACATCAGACAGGCTTTCACAGAACATATGCTTTCTGCTGTTGGATGTATGTCTTCTGATCGGTGATGCGGGACGGGCTGCGCGCGCCTTCGAACTTCTTGACAAAGACATGGTAGGCATTGACAAGGACGAGAAGGATAAGGACAAAGACAAGGAAAAGGTGTGTCTCAACTTATCTCCAATAGGCGATTGCTATTGAGCTTTCAACTCACCTCAAATAGACGTTTACAGTACCAATACATACCAGTTTACACATGGATTGCTCAGAGTGAAACTGTACATACCTACATGTTAGTTGTAATGCGTGATATCAACTCGACAGATGCGAAGGCGCCAGTTGTAATCTCCGTGTAGTACTCACCCCTTTCCACTTGCACACCACCTACAGTCGCAACCAGAGGAAGAGATTTCGCAGTTCCGCTTCTTATTCCATCTGTACAAAGCTAAGCTGTATATCATGACGCGCTCGTTCAAGCTGTGCAAACGGGAAATGAAATCCTGTCTGAATGCCAGTAATTCGGTATGATATAAGTCTCTCGCTCGAACAGGCAGGTCCTGGACGAACTATTTCTTTGTACCGAATCCCTACCTATTTTGAAGCACGCGTCGCATATCTAATTCACATAATTGCGCGTGCTTGATACATCTTGCCAGTGCTTGCTCCTGCTCACTGCACTGCGCCACCTGCCTATCACTCCATTTCCAACAACAAACCGTCACTCATTCTCCTTACAGGAGCCTGCCGGATTATTCCTGAAGGGTAATTTTGAGTACCTGCGGAAGAATCACCGCAAGGCCATAAAGTTGCTCAACGGGTGTCCTAATCTGCCCGCGAGTACTGTGCTACCCGTGCTCTACTATAATAATTTGGCCATAGGTGAGCGAATTCTTACACATGGTGGGCGATAAAGTTAATCTTGCACAGACTTATTTGTGCGATATGGCCTCTTACTTGCTTTTGGGTTCACATAGGTACCGATAAGTTGATGAAGGTCCAAAACAGTCTGCGAATAGTATGATTACATAAACGGGTGGTGTTAGTAATTAAGACCGTATTCTTTCCATTCGTTATGTCATCTACAGTCCATTTCCAATTGAACAAACCGAACATGGCCGCATTCTACTTTGCTAAGGCATGGAAAGCTAATGAAGTGTTAGCGGCCGCGCAATCAGCGAGCCAAGGTACATCGGTGTTGGAAGCCGATAAACGTTATGAGTTGGCGTACAACCATGGATTACAGGTATGTATAGACCAAGATTGTGTGCTCGAGTTTCCTGTGTATCTTTATTTATAATAATAAAACACTCGTCTTTCAAATGCACGAGCTGTATCATGTTCAATCCTTTCCGACCAGGACGAACGGACATGTAAGTATCAGTGCACACCTAATTTGCCCGTTAACTGAATAGCTGCCACCGCGATTTTGTGCGTGTAATTATGTTGAAATTCAGAATAGTAATCACGCTTCGGATTCTCAACATACACCGATGGGCCGTTCCTGCAGCAATGACTGGCTGCAATCCAATTACTACATTTGTTAACATTATTCATCCTCGTGCCTGTGTATACTACAGCTCCTGTACTCAGGTCAGCCTAAGGCTGCCTTTGCCTCTTTCATGCGGTCTATTCCCGCCTTCCGCAACGAATCCCTGGTGTGGCTCCGCTTAGCCGAATGCTGTGTGGGTGTGCATGCAACCAGGAGAACGGCCTTCAATCGAGCATCAGAGCCTGTGACCATTGTGAAAAAGGTCGTAGGCACCAAGCCGTATAAGACCGTGGTAATATCTGAGAACTTCCCTGATCCAATCAAGATGACCCTGGCGAGTGGGAGGGCTAGTGTCTCCCCAGGGGAGCGACAGGAAACGATGGAGACCAATCCCGTGTGTGGGCATGCTGAGCCTTCGCTGCAATTTGGGCTGTGGTGTGCTAGGAATGCCATGGTGTTGGCGAGTGCACAGCAGAGTAGGGCAACAGAGGTGCAGAGTGCGTACGCGAGTGCCAATGCGAGCCTGGCTGGGAACAAGGACGACGATAGCGGCAACCATGGCAACCAAAATAGCAATAACAACAATAGTAGTACTGTTGATAATGACGGGGACGGGCTCTCAGGGCCGGATGCGGAGTGTGTGGAGACAACCATCCAGCTGAACATTGTGTACCTGTCCTTACACCTGTGCGACTACAACTCGGCCCTGTCGGTGTGTAAAGACATCCTTACGCAACGGCCATCAGACGGTAATGCTGAAAGAAGCGCAAGCAAGAGTGTGTCACCCACGCTGAGGTGCATTGCGCAGTTGTACGCGGGAGAGGCGTTGATACGTCTCGGGCGTATTCAGGAAGCTGAGCACATGCTCAGTCCCACCGCAGAGGGCTTTGAAGGTGCGTTTTTGGATGTGACTGTGAATATGAATGACCCGTACACTCTGCCGCACAGCACGCATATGCAGCCTGCGGCCCTGCCTGGGTCCAGCAGTCATAACAGTAATGCGAATAATGGGCGTGTGAGTGTTGGCAGCAACAACGGCAGCACTCAACAGTCTTCTCCCGGTATGTTGGCCAACTCATCAGTTGGAGGGGGCACCAAATGTGCTAATATGTTGTACAGCTCGCGAGGCGTGCAGAGTTTTGTACAGAACTCGCCCCAGACCGCTTTCAAGGCCCAACTTCTGATCAATCTGGCCGTGGGATTCTGCCGTAGAGGTGACTTTGACAGAGCGGAGAACGCTATGATTGCTCTGATGCGCCTTCTTCCTCCAACCGTGCCGTATCCGCCCCAGGCTGTATTGATAGCCGTATATATGGATATTGCAAGAGGTATGTAACCACTGTCAAATTTTGATAATTTTTTCAATGTATTCATATTGTATGATCGTATTTATAGTTTGCTTTTCATCCTGCACTGAACTCGCCATTCATTCACACTTTTTATATAATCCGCTTCCTCTGTTAGGCAATTCTGTGAACGCACTGCGGATGGTAAAGCAGCATTCTCTCCCACTTTCGTGGACTAATATGGGACAGAACAACAATTGGCGACAGCAGTAGCTCGGATAGCCGTCGTCAACCGCACGAGAGTATATATGCACATGGGTCAGATGGTGTATGTGCGTCGTGCCTCAATCTTGCGTTTAAATGCAATAGAGATGGCACGTTGTGATATTGTACAATTAGAGGGTATCGCATACGCACATACACAATCGGGGTAAGTGTTCTCGCGCTCCAATGATTAGTGATACTTCTACAGCGAACACCAAGCGTCCGTCTACGTATACACACAGCACTCAATAAAGCATACTAAATTGACGATGGGGTGGGGAGTGTATATTTTTTGGTTCATCGCTTACGCATGTGGGGAAGTTTGTGCACCGGGATAAGCTTTTCTTTTCTTTTTTTGTTCGCCCGTGCTAGGCCAGTTAGAAGTAGATGCATCATGTCGCATACCATGGTCTATTATAAGTACAATCCTGACTGCTGCTAGTTTGCTATGGATATGCTCATAGCATCCTTGATTTACTGTAACATGCCGAGGATGGAAACTCGCAAGTTGTAATATTAAGCAACTAAAGGTGATTATATGTATGTCAAGCTGTTGTATACGATGATCCTTTGGGTTCAACGAGTACTACAATTATCACATCACGCGCATATTCTTGAACGGGGAGGGTTTTTTAGGATGCTAGTAATATCTTTCCCTTTCCCTCCAGCTGGCAAGTGCGTAATTGAATTCATTAGTACAAGCCTAAAAGTATTTATATCTTGTATATTGAGCTAGTTTCCAATGTTAGCTGGTATTTCCATATTTTGCCCGATTCGCCTATATCGCCTATAAAAGTTGATCTACTATTTGGCGAGTATTTGGATGAAATGAAGTAAGAATGTGCAAGATAGCCCAACAGAACTTTATATAAAATTTGTATGTATATATATTATATATATATATTATAAATACCAAATCCGATCCTGTCTTCGGTGAAATTCAACCTCGAGGAATAAAAGTTGGAATTCCGATGGGAAGACATCTATTCTGTACGGATAAATCATTTTTTTGCGCTTGCCCATTGTAATCATTCACCTGGTCAATATATTTGCATATAAAAAAATACATCCGTGCTTTAGCATCGAATGCCTGAGCACTGAGTGTATTTTGCACCATGACGCGGCCGATGGAATTTATGGAATACATAAAGAACTTAATTGAACATAAATGTGAATATTGCAGACTAGAGCAAGAAGTACATTGTACAATGTGTTCTGAACTTCGCCATAGCACGATTGTCTATGTGCATTTAGCTGCAAAAACCAAAACAGCATCACTTACGCAAGATCATTAGGTTTACATAGTCTTCATGGTACTTAGGCGACAGTGTGGCCGTACTACGTAGACGGCGGTATCAAGGGAACAAAAGTCAGCTTTCAGTACCCCTGTGATTCTAGCAGAGTTTGCACCATTGTAAATATAGAGATTGAACAGACGACACGCTGCTCAAACCTGATATCGATTCTTCGGGCCGAAAAGGAGTCAAGATCTGCTACGTATGATTCATAAACATTGGAGTACGCCATTCGTAGTATGGAATAGAGGTGAAAGCTTCCTACGATACGTTACCCATGTGGGAATATTCTCGAACAATGAACCTTGGGGAATATAACGACACCTACATCGAATATAAAATTGGAAGTACATACATCACTGATTCTTGGCAGTTTGCAAACGCTGATCACCTTACGGGCAAGAACAGAAGTGTAGAATGTCACCGACATGTTCTTTACTTGTAGATCAGCATATTGTTTACCTTTACCATAAGCAATGTTCTAAAAGCAGCAACGACTACTGCATTCATCGATTCGTTTTAGAAGACAAATATGTCAGACACCACACAACTATCACATATGAACAAACAATGCAAATAAAGTCGTATCTTTTATATACATATATATATA